AAAAAAAAAAAAAAAAAAAAAAAAAGCTATGAATACATGACTTAATCTTAAATGAAAGATCTAGAATACAAAATAGCTACATATTTATAAAGCTGTTACTGGGTCTTCTGCATAACAAAATAATTGAGGCTCACTGCAGAGTTCTAAACTGTTTTGTTCTGACAATTTTTTAAAAAAAGTGCTCAGTTATACTTTTATTTTAGCTATCCCAATTGTGGAAAATGTCAGCCATGTTCCATCAAGAAAACAGTTAACACGTTAAGTAGTTAATATACCAAGCAGGTAACATCAAGAGAGCCAACATATTCTGTATGCAGAAAGTAAGTATAGTTTCACACAGTTCTGAGCCATTGCCAAAAATGTTGCAATATAGAAAAGAATGGACAACAACACAACAAAAATTTCTTTTTTCTTTGAGACAGGGTCTCAGTATGTAGTCCAGGCTGGCCTTGGATTCACGGTGATCCTCCTGCCTCAACCTCCTGAGTGCTGGGATTACAGACATCTACAGAATTTTTATTAACATTAAAACAATTCTACTGAACCATAGAAATTAAATTTGATTCAGGAAACCTACCATTTTTCTCCGTTATGCTTAGATTAGAATGAAGGTACTTTAATTATATTTCAAGACCACCAGTGGAAAATATAAAATGCTAAGGTTACCTATGCTTGTTTTTTTTTTTTTTTTTTTTTTCTGGGACTTGGAATTGAACTCACAACCTCGTGCTTGCCAGGCAGACGCTTATGCCACTGAGCTATATCCCTGGCCCATAGGTTACCTATACTTGAGATATGCAACTCGACAAGGCAAACTTCAAGGCCAGTTATCATAGTACTCCAAATTCTGTTTTTGTTTTGTTTCGGTACCAGGAATCGAATTCACGACCTCGCGCTTACCAGACAGGCGCTGTGCCGCTGAGCTAAATCCCCAACCGCTCCAAATTCTCTTTGAACCTACCCTTTTGTTCATTCTAAAATGCTGCGTAAGATGTGTTCTTCACTTTAAATTAATAATTCATTGCTTTTCAAAAAAAAAAAATTTTTTTTTTTCGGTTTTTCTCCGGTACCGGGAACTCAAAAATTTAAATAATACAATAGGTAAAGGAATTAAAAACTTTAGTGACAACAGACCCATGTATTTCGTGTTGACCATAGTAAAAGAAGGAAAAGATGGAATATAAATAATACTTTTTTTTTAAATTGCAAGACTAGAATAATCATTTTTCAGGTCTCCATGTAACCATCTGCCAAGGATACTCTGCTTCAGGTCTTAAATCACTTCCAAACTCCTATATGCAAATTTTAATGTAGAAAAAAAACATGCTCCTATATACAAATTTTAATGCAGAAATAAAAAACCCTAACATGAAACAAAAGAGAACTTCCAGCTAAGGAAGCAATTTAGAGGTGAAGACAAAGATACACAGCCTCAACAAGAGTTTCCAAGCCTGAGCCGAAGGAATTAGTGGGAACAGAGATGTTTACAAAGGAAAGCTGAAAAAAAAAGAGGGATGGGTGGAGACTTTAAGAGGAAGAAGAAATAACAAAGAAAAAGGAGACGATTTAACACAGCACCAGCCGAGAAAGCAGCAAGACGGATCCAGCGCCAAAGCGCCCGCCCGTAATCCCCCCCCGCACCCTCCGGTCCCTTAACCCCGCCCCGTTCCCAGGCCCCGCCCCGCCCCTCGACCTCTCCTCTTGTAACCCCGCCCCGCCGTCCAGGCCCCGCCCCCTCCCGGTCCCCCGCCGCCGCGTCAGGTGACACCCGGAAGTTGTGGAGGCGGCTGCGTGCGGGGGGCGGCGCGGAGCTGCGGGGCTGCTCGGCCTGGTGCGGCCCCCGGCGCAGCCCTCATGCTCTCCTCTTCTTGACACCAGCAGCACGCCGCTCTTGGGCCCTCGCCGCGGGCTGGTGTCGTCGTGGTGCGGGCCCATGGAGTCGGCCGGGCGCGGCGGCGACGGCGCGCCCCGGGGGCCGGTGCTGCACATCGTGGTGGTCGGCTTCCACCACAAGAAGGGCTGCCAGGTGAGCGCGGGCCCCGTACCACGCCCTTCCTTCTCTGCCCCCAGGACTTCGTGAGGGGCGCGGGCCCGCGAGGGCGGGCGTCCGCATCCCACCTGTCTCCACATACTTGTGTCTGTCCAGAACAGGGATCTGGAGGGATAAAACGCACACTTGCACCTGTTCAAGGCAGTGGGCGGGGGGCACTTCCAGCAGAGCCTCAGGTCGACCCCGCGCCGATGGCTCCTCCGGGAACCAACTTCCTTGTGGATCCAGGAGCCCGGAGCTGAGTCGGGGCTGGTCCCAGGGCCGCTCCCCCGCCTCCCTGTGCTGTTCTCTCCCGGCCGGCGCTTGCCTTCGCCTTCGGGGATGTTTGACCTCTCCAGATCAGTAAGGAAGAAAGTGTATTTACCAAGCAAGACGTGTCAGTAGATGCCTTTCAGTAGACCCTTAATTCAGCATCTGAAGTGGAATATTTGCAATCTGTGTGTTGAAGGCAAAGGGATAAAATAGAAGTAGAGTTATTTAATAATGAATGGGCAAACACTGGAAGGCAGTGATGTCATAATGTGCTAGTGAACAGTGCATTGGAATTGAAAATACTGACTGCTGCCACTAGGTAAAAAGCGGCGTTTGGTTTCTTGCCTTTCACAGAAAATCATATTTTACGGGAATTATTGGCAAAAGCTCAGTTCATTAGAAGATGATAACAGAAAAGTGGTAAAGGGCATGAAAAGATGGTTGTGTATGTGTTCAAAAGTCTGTTTTAAGGTATATTCTTCATCCTTAAGGTAAAAATGGTATAGAAAAACACCAAAGAGGAAGTAGCACACACAGTGAGTTCAAAGCCAGCCTGAACTACACAGCAAGACCTTGTCGGTATGGTACCCAAAAGATTTTCAGTAGTTTAAAACTCTATGCTTGTTTTGGTTTGGGGTTTTTTGTCCGTACTGCTTTTTGTTTGTTTGTTTGGTTTTTGTTTTTATGTAGTTCCGGCTGGACTTGAACTCACTGGATAACCCAGGCTGCCCTTGAACATGCTGTCATCTGCCTCCCTCAGTCTCCTGAGTGCTGAGATTACAGGTGCCCTGCTTAAAATTCCGTGTGTGTGAATTTAGTATTCACTTTTTAACTTCCTTTGGTTGTGAGGGAAGTAATTGCAACTTGGAGAGGGTAAAACGATCTTGTTGATCTTGTTGAAGTCGTTCTGCAGAATAATCCTGGGATCACCTTATTTGAGAACCCTACGGAATGGAGCTTTGGATAAGAAAGCAAGTATCAGCCTGAAGGTGGGCGTGGTGACTCATGCCTGTAATCCCAGCACTCAGGAGGCTGAGGCAGGAAGATTGTGAGTTTGAGTTCAAGTTCAAGTTCGATTTCGAGGCCAGCCTGGTCTGCAAAGTAGCACAAGGCCAACCTGAACTGCATAGAGAGATCCTTTCTCAAAAAAACAACAAACAAACAAAAACAAAGGAAGAAAATATACTGGCAAGAGATGGGATAAAAATCTCTTTAATTTTTGCTGTCATCTGAAAGTTAAGTTTTATTGTTTTCTGTTTTATTGGTAAAGATAATATAGTTTATATTTCCAGAAAAGAAGCAGCATGCAGTACTGCTTAGAGATTGGAGAAAACTGAACTGCAGATTGCAAAATGAAAGAGACTCTTGGGGCTGAAGTAGACCCCCAGTACTGTGGCATTTGTCTGCCTTTGTCTGTCTTTTGGTTTCAGCACTGGAGTAAAAGGGACTGGTTGTATAGAAAGAGCACTGTCGGGGCTGGGGATTTAGCTCAGTGGCAAAGCGCTTGCCTGGCAAGCGCAAGGTCATGAGTTCGGTTCCCGGTACCGGAGAAAAACCAAAAAAAAAAAAAAAAAAGAAAGAGCACTGTCCTGGAAGTCAGGAGACCTGGATAACATCAGGGCTTCACAGCACCCATGACTTCCAGCAAGTCCAAATAACATAATTTTTCTTTACTCTTCAATTTCCTCTACCAGGTACTTTATGAGAATTTTAGACCTGGCAGCAATCCTTTGAGATCCAGCTTCCTTAAATTTCCAGATCAGTCCCTGGATGCCTGGAGAGGCTGACTTGCCCAGCCAGCTACTTTTTTTTTAATTTTATTTTTAATACTGGAGATTGAACCTAGGCCTTTTCACTGAGCTACATCCCCAGCCCTTTTTTTAATTTTTAATTTTGAGAAAGAGTTTAAGTTGGTGAGGTGGACTTGAACTTGCAATTCTGCCTCAACTTCCCAGAGTGCTGAGATCACAGGGATGTACCACCACACCTGGCTATGTTTCTCTTTTTGTAAAAATATATGTGTAATATAACATGTCTTTTTTTTACCATTAATAAGTAACAGTAGACTCATAACTGTTTTGTAATTGTCACATTATCAGTACTCAGAACTTTTTCGTTATTCCCCAGAACTGTACCTATTAAACAATGTGTGTATATATATATTTTTATTTTTATTTATTTATTTATTTTTTGAGACAAGGTCTTGATGTGTAGTTCAGGCTGGCTTTGGACTCACTGTGTATCCCAGGCTGGCCTCGAACTTGAGGTGATCATCTTGCCTCTGCCTCCTGAATGCTGGGATTGCAGGTGTGTGTCGCCATGCCCAGCTTAAACATGTATATTTCTTTTAATTGCACTTTTAAGTTGTAGGCTCCTGGAAAATAATAATGCATGCCTTGTTCTAGTTGTTGTTGTAATCCAAGTGGTACTTCACAGAGACAATGGCAAATTTTTTGTTTGTTTGTTGGTTTTTTTGGTTTTTTTCTGGTACTGGGAATCGAACTCACGACCTTGTACTTGCCAGGCAGGCACTGTGCCGCTGAGCTAAACTCCCAGCCCCAATGGCAAATTTTTTAAAATACACTTGTTAAATGTGGATTACTAATAGAAGAGAAAAAAGTACAAAAGAGTGCTCAAAAGTCACTTGATTTATTATTGCAGCTTTAAAAATTTTTTAAATTTTATTTGTACATTTGCAATTTATGCAGTTTCCAGTCATCTTGGAGAGTAGTTACATGTACATATCAAAGCTTATTTTTTTTAGGGCTGGGGATATAGCTCAATGGCATAAGCACCTGCTTGGCAAGCGCAAGGTCGTGAGTTTGATCCCCAGTACCACAAAAAAAAAAAAAAGCTTATTTTTTTTTTAATCCCTCTCCCCTTTTGCATACTTGTTGATACTACTTGTTTAGCTCCTGTTATGCCATGTAGTATTTACATTAATTGGGGAATGTAACTTTAAAATTACACCTGTAGAGTACCAGAAAAAAGAAGCTCTAAGAACCTGGTTCTGTAGATAGGAATATGCTATAGTTTTTAAAAAATATTAAGGACAATATTGATTTTTTTTTTTAGCCACATAGAAAGAAAAATTATAAAATGAGCGAATTGTAAAGTCTCCTTGGTATGTTATATGGATTCTTAAAGGGTCTTCCTCATTTTTGCATAGTAGTATCTTCTTAGGTGTCCTGCAACTCTTGTTTTCTTAATCCTTCAAAATCGAAGCACATTTCTTTTTTTTTTTTTTGGTTTTTCTCCTGTACCAGGAACCGAACTCACGACCTTGCGCTTGCCAGGCAGGTGCTTTGCCGCTGAGCTAAATCCCCAGCCCCGAAGCACATTTCATATTTAGATTGTGTGTTACATTTGTAACTCAGAATAGCTCATAGACACTGCTGTTCTTTTTAACCAGTATGTAAAATGTTATCAGAGGTTCTCATTATTTAATTTCCCCAGGATGTATTAATCAGCTACTTCCTTCTCAATTTTAAGATTTCACTTCCAATTGTAAAGGATTACAAGTGCATGGTTCATTGAGTGGTGACTCAGACTTCAGATAGTTTTAACATGGGAGTAGGCTTTGTTAGGCTTCTCTTACAAGTATTCAGAATGACCCTGGTAGACTACCAGTTCTTGCCCTGCCCTGAGATTTATTCTTGGGAAAATTCTAGTACCTGAATCTGTCCCTTTGGATTGAAGTGAGGTAGCCAAGGATGTACCTCAGTGGCACAGTGCCTTGCTTGGCAAGTGCAAGGTCCTGAGTTCGATTTCCGGTACCAAAAAAAAAAAAAAAAAAAGATTGAAGTGAAGTGAAGTAAAGCTTCTGTTTAAAATATCTTTCAGTAGTCAGCTTGGTTAGCTTGGTGATTTACTATGTCATCTCATATGAACCACAAAGTGAAAGCTTTTGTCTTCTAGTACACCTTTTTTGGCCCAGTATGTATAGGCTGGTGTAAAATGTTTATTCATCTTTTCTGAATTTTTTCTACTGTTGAAATCTTCAGATGTATTTTTTTAAAAATTTTCTTGGATACGTTTTAAGTGAAAAATTTTTTCATTTAAATTAAAATAAACATCTATTAACTGTATCACTTTATTTTGGAGGGAAATAACTTGTGGAAGTAAATTCTCCTGTAGATAACATGCTGGCTTCTAGTGGTGACTTTTCCAGTTTATAAATATGCGTAATATTTGTACCATTTGAAGTAATTTAAAGTACTACTGTGATATTCAAAATAGTTTGAAGTGCTTACCCATTCCAACTCTCTTATCTAATTCTTTTAATTTTATCCGTGTAACAAAACTCTTAAAATCTTGCCTGAAGTTAGAATGTTTGACATAAAATGATTTCTGTGCACCCTCTCTGTAGTAAATTTACTAGTTATGGATTGTGCATTCTAGGATTTTATTTGTTCTAATATAGAAATTGAATTTGCCAGATTAGCATAATTTTTGCTAAGTAATATAATCAAATGTATATATCAGGTAAACTGATTTATTCACTGATAGACTTGAATTTGGGATGTGGGGTAAGACAGGTTCTTGCTGTGTGTTTGAACTCACTGTGGAGCCCAGACTAGCCACAAACTCATGGTGATCCTTCTGCCTCAGCCTCCCAAATGCTGTGATTATAGATGTGCACCACCATGCCCAGTTTAGACTGGAATTTTTTTCTTTTTCTTTTTTTTTGTGGGGGAGGTGTTTGAGACAGGGTCTCACTATGT